TTAATTACTGTTCCTAGGGTGTGACTTCATGCCTCCACCTTTTGTTGTTGTTGTTGTTGTTGTTGTTGTTCTGGTAAAGGATCCTTGAAAAGATCACTTTGACAAGCAACAGGATAAATGATCAGCTTCTGGAGATCCTGAGTATATACCCTCTGAGCAAATAGAAAAAAGTAAAATCGGAAGACTCACTGTTCGAGGAATGGGTACTTGAACCTAAGAATAAGATTTCCAGTGACAACATCACAACAGAGTAAAAAGGTCAGCATCAACATGAGCTAGAAATTCAGAGGATGGGCTGCAGGAAACAGACCTTTTGTAATCACTTTATTGAGGTGTGGTTGACATACACGAAGCGGTAGGTATTTAATGTGTACAACTTGACGAGCTTGGAGATGAGTGTACATCCGTCACCACAATGGATGCCATAAACATATTCATCGCCTCCAAAAGGTCATACCTCTCTTCATGTGTGTGCGTGTCTGTGTGTGTGTGTGTGTGTGTGTGTGCGCGTGTGTATGAGAGAACGAACACTTAGCATTAGGATCTACCCTCTTGGCAAAATTTTATATTAACTAGAGACTCTGCTATATAGTAGATTTCTAGGACTAATTTTTCACAACGAAAACTTTGTACTCTTCGACTAATACCTCCTCACGTCTCCCCACACCTCCCCCCTGCCCCTGGCAACCACCGTTCTACTCTCTGCTTCTGTCAGTTTGACTTTTTAGATTCCACCTGTAAGTGAGATCACGCCGTGTTGGTCTTTCTGTGTCTGACTTCTTTCACTTAGCATTATGTCCTCCAGGTTTATCCAGGCTGTTTCAAAGGGCAGGATTTCCTTATTTTTTAAGGCTGAGTAATCTTCAGTTGTATGCATATACCACATTTTCTTTATCCATTCATCCATCAATGGACACAGGTTGGTTCCATGTCTTGGCCATTGTGAATAATGTTGCAGTGAACACGGGAGTTTAGATATTTCTTCAAGATCCTGATTTCGATTCCTTTGGATGTATACCTAGGAGCAGGACTACTGGCGATATGGTAGTTCTGTTTTTAGTTGTTGGCAGAATTTGCACACTGTCTTCTGCAAAGGCTGTATCTGTTTACATTCCTACGACGTATGGTATAAAGGTATGAAGGTTCCCTTTTCTCAGCATCCTTGCCAACGCTTGTTATCTTTCATGTTTTTAGTAACAGCCATCCTAACTGGTGCGAGGTGATAGCTCATTGTGGTTTTGACTTGTATTTTCCTGATAATCAGTGATGTTGAGTGTCTTTTCCTGTAACTGTTGGCTATTTGCACGTCTTCTTTGAAGAAATGTCTATTCAGTTCCTTTGCCCATCTTTTCATCTGGTCACTTGGGATTTTTTTTGCTACTGAGTTGTAGAAGTTCCCTATATGTTTTATATATTCACCTTTTGTCAGATGTATGGGTTGCAGATATTTTCTCCCATTCTGTAGGTCGTCTCACATTTTGTTGATTTTTTCCCTTTACCATTCAGAAGCCTCTCAGTTTGATGTGGCCCCACTTTCTTTTTGCTTTTGTTGCCTGTGCTTTTGGCATCCTGCCCAAGAGATCTTTGCCAAGACCAACGTCAGGAAGGTTTTCCTCTATGTTTTCTTCTTACCTTTTTATAGTTTCAAGTCTTACACTGAAGTCATTCCTCTGTTTTGAGTTCATTTTTGTGTCTGGTATTATTAGATAAGGGTCCCATTTATTCTTTTGCATGTGTATGACCAGTTTTCCCAGCGCCATTTATTAAAGAGACTGTCCTTACCCCGTTGTGTATTCTTGGCACCTTGGTCAAAGATCAGTTGACCAAAGACCTTAAGGCCAAAGAGAAATGTAAACAAGCTGGGAGTGTTGTTTCGCGATATAGGAGAGTAGAAGAAAAAAGTAATATCTCTTAATTAAAATGTGACTTTTCAATATTTCTCATCAAGTTAACCGACAATATGTTCTATGACTCTTGACCCCATCATCCACGTTGCTCCAAATGTGCACATTCAAATTGGCCATCACCTTTCCTGTGCGATTTTCTCTTTGGGAAAGTGGCAACTCTCCTTACGTGTGCAGTGGCTCCTATAGCCTCTCGTGATTTTACAGTCCTTGCGCTGACCAGACACCTGGTTTTCTAAGCCAGGCAGCCCATTGGCATTTGGGACGTTAAATCCCAAACCCACCCTCCCCTAGAAGACCCAGTTTGTGTTCTGGGTCCAGATTCCCCAGCAGTGATCCGGTTCTCTCTTAGAAAATGTTTGATACTTGCTTAAATACCATTTGTATACCTTTGCTTGATTCCCTGTCCTATTTTACCCACTTTATTTGGTATTCATATATCTAACTTACCTCTTTGTTTTAAATCATTGTGGACACCCGTCTCTTTCTCTCTCTTCCTCCCTTTTTGTTCTTAACCTTCTGTACACCCCAGGCTAACCCTCACCTTTGTGACCCTGTTTACAAGCTCATGTGTCTGAAACTGCTCAGAGATCTGTTTATACACACACACATACAGCCATATATACATATAGAAATCTTTGGGGCACCTGGGTGGCTCAGTCGGTTAAGCAGCCGACTTCGGCTCAGGTCATGATCTCGCGGTCCATGAGTTCGAGCCCCATCTCGGGCTCTGTCCTGACAGCTCAGAGCCTGGAGCCTGCTACCGATTCTCTGTCTCCCTCTCTGTCTGCCCCTCTCCTGCTTGCTCTCTGTCTCGCTCTCTCTGTCTCTCTCTCTCTCTCTCTCAAAACTAATAAAACATTAAAAAAAATTTTTAATATGTGTAGAAATCTCTTTTTGCCCTATAAGGAAAACTAACTCATCAATTCACACATTCAAATTGCAACAGTGTTTGGTTTTTTGTTTTTGTTTTTAACGTGGCCGCATTTCTTAGGAGATAAGTTACTTAATAATAGTAAGAACGACAGAACCTATATAGCATCAAAACAGCATCATGGCAGAGTGATATCAACCCTGCCTACCCAGTTCCAGGGGCTTAGCATCTGCTGCAAACTGCTGGTCTCCTGTATCCTGGTGTTCTGAGGCAGGGAGAGAAGAACAAAGCCATCTTATCATAACCTCATTTGGTCACCCTCTCCATACACGGCAGTAGCACTGAACCCCTTATCCACCTACGTCTGGGATCACCTGGGCTGCACGTGAGTGCGTATCATGGCGCTTGCCCTGTTACCCGTGTGCACCTGCCTGTCGCTCCCCTCAGCAGTGTGGGGGAGAGGGGGTCTTCTTCTGCCTTGTGTCCTCAAGGCCCACGCAGGGCCCAGTGCCTGTGAGGCCTCGATACACCTGAGAGCACCGGAGGGGGCAGGCTGAGCCCTGCCCTCAGACGGCCCCGCCGTCTGGCTTTAGGCAACATACTTAACCTCTTCAGTCCTAGTTTTCTTGTCCATAAAATGGGAAAATGAGACCTCCGTCTTAGGATCCCTGGTAGGATTGAGTTATGGAGTTCGGCTCCTGGTCCCCCCCTCTCAGAGGAGGGACCAGTCTGCTTAGAACAACAGCCCCCTGGCCCCTCTTGCTCTCCCGTTTCCTTCATCACGTTGCCCTCCACTGGACTTCAGGCGCGTTCATTTGTTTGCTTTTCTTTCTTCTTGCAATTTGAAAGCAAGCAGAAGTCTTGTCCTCATGGGGCCAACACTGTACCCCCAGTGCCTGGCAGATAGTAAGTACCGGATAAATCTGTGTACGATTGAAGTCTGCCACATGACGGGAGATGGGTGGATGGGTGGGTGGGTGGACAGACGGACGGACAGACGGCTGGGTTGGTAGGCAGGTAGGACGGATGGGAGGGAAGAATGAAGGAGAGACAAAGCCAGACAGCCAAGTAATAAGTAGATAGGGCCCACTGCATATATGCAGACAACCGTTGAGTTGTTGATATTTTAGACGACGGTTTTTCCCAGCTGCTTTGATTAATTAGATCCAGGTATTTTGATCAAAGCGCCATCGAATAGGATTAATTTAAGTGCGAAGTACGGGCTCAACGCCGAGACTCATCCTTACCATCTCCTGACCTCCAGTAAGTAGATGAAAAAGAGGAAGAAGGAAGAAGGTGCTTAGCGGGCAGAGGCTGGGTATGTCAGTGGCGCAACCACACTGTGGGTGGAAGGGGGCCGCTGGGGTGGGTGCTGTAAGAACAACAACGTGATGTGGTGGCTCAGCCGGTCAAAAGTCCAACTCGATTTCAGCTCAGGTCATGATCTCCCCGTTCGGGAGATCGAGCCCACGTCCAGCTCTGCGCCGACAGCACGGAGCCCGCTTGGGATTCTCTCTCTCTCTCTCTCTCTCTCTCTCTCTCTCTCAGCTCCCCCCCCACTCCTGCCCCTCCCCCATATTCCCTCTCTCTCAAAATGATGAAACTTAAAAAAAAACAACAAAAAAAACAGGAACGTGATACTGTTGAGCCAGAGACCTTGCCTTGTTCCATGACAGAGAAGTGTGTCCAGTTCGGGATAATGCCTTTCAAAGGGAGTTTGGAGAGGCCGCTCCACACGGTTTTTGAAAAACAGAGAACGGGAAAATGGGAGTTTCCCCCGGTAGCTTCCTGTGGAGGTCCACGTCTGAACCCAGTGTTGATCGCCGCTGTTGCGAGGGTCTGTTGTTTCTTTGCTTTGCTTTGTTGGGTTTTAGTGAGATGCTAATCACGTCTGCTCTTGGCCGATGAAAAGGAATCAGCTACAGGTTAAAGAAAGAGACGTGTTTAGGGGCGCCTGGGTGGCTCAGTCAGGTAAGCATCCGACTCTCGGTTTTGGCTCAGGTCATGTTCTCGCAGTTTCGCGGGTTTGAGCCCCGCATCAGGCTCTGTGCTGACAGCGGGGAGCCTGCTTGGGATTCTCTCTCCTCCCACCCCGTCTCTCTCTGCCCCTCCCCCACTCACGCTGTCTCTGTTTCTCTGAAAATAAATAAATTTGTAAAAATCAAAAAATAAAAGAGACGTTTCTAGAAATAACATCTTCTGCTTCTTTGCTTCTGTTTCAGGTGCTAAACCGGCCCCTGGGATCTGCTTTGAGAGAGTCAACTCCGCAGGGGACCCTTACGGCAACTGTGGCAAAGACTTCAAGAGTTCCTTTGCCAAATGCGAGATGAGGTACGGAAGCTGCGGCCGGACCACGCCATCACTCTGAACTTCCTCCGTCGCCAAGGGCTGCTCCCAAACTTTCCCTCTTTGGGACTCTCTGTTCTTGCCCTTCCAGAGATGCTAAATGCGGGAAAATCCAGTGTCAAGGAGGCGCCAGCCGGCCCGTCATCGGTACCAATGCCGTTTCCATCGAAACGAATATCCCGCTGCAGGAAGGAGGGCGGATTCTGTGCCGTGGGACCCACGTGTACTTGGGCAATGACATGCCGGACCCCGGGCTTGTGCTTGCGGGCACAAAGTGTGCGGACGGAAAAGTAAGACACCGGGGCTCTCTTGCATCATAAATATAAGTCTGGAGGGGGGCCCGTTGAGAAGCGTCCTGTCCAGGAACCCACTTAGGAGGTTGGTTTGTTTTCCTAAATCCACTCCTTCCTGCAACTTTGTCTCTGGCATCCAGTTCTTTGCACCGAGAAGGAAGCGTTAATAAATCCTGGATCCTGGCCAGACCATGGAGATGCATATTTGGGAAAATCAAGCCTGGTTTCTCAGCCTTTAGGTGTGAAGAAGTCATTTCTGTACTCTGGGTGTCATGAGTATTTCCAGCCAGGAAATTACTTTGGAAGGAAACGCAGTAGCGTATTACGTTGTTTTTGGAAACGTGGGTTTGGTTTCTGGCACAGCGAGGGCTTGTTCTCACCTGGACAGAACGGGAAGTCACATGTATTTTCAGAGACCCCCAACGAGAGACTAGGAGAGGGGAAGAGATAGGATCAGCTTGAAGCCAAAGAGAGTTCTTTCAGAGACCAAGGGGAAGGTAGACTGAGATATCTGGGGGGTTAGAATAAAGTCAAAAATGAAAAAAAAAAAA